AAATGATTATTTTGTTCTAACTTAATCAATCATTCAGCTGCAGTAGTCGGATTCATCAAAAGTTTCTCCTGAACTAGAAGACAGATGGCAACACTCTAATTTGTGAATCCAGTTTTGGTGATGCATACTCTTGATAATGCAATTTATATAGATGTTTTCTCGCTCTTTCATTTAAGAATTTGTTGTGTTTTTAGCGTTTTTGGGACAATTCACTTTTTATTTTATTATCTTTGTAAGATTTAAAGTTAATAGAGTGAAATTTGAAGTTTTAGAGTGAAATGGAACAGAAAAAAATTTTAAGGACTAAATTAAACAAAAGCAAAACTTGTGGAATAAAAGTGAAATATTTGAAAACTTTAAGGATCAACCCGCAAAGTTTGGATTTCTTGCTAAAGTTGGGCGGCTGCACCTATATTCCTGGCCGAGAGTTTCTTTTGTAGAGTAAATTTTAATAAAATAAATCCTAATTAAATTAAGAAAGATTTTTTGCCCTAGTTTATTTTCTCCAAAAAAAAAATTATTTTAAGGTTATTAGCCACTTTCATTATTATTACTCTTTTCAACTTTCACATAAACCAAAGAGAACTTTTAAGAGCAAGGGTTTTGGCTCTCCGTTGAAGAATTCTCTCTACTATATTCAATTCAAAGATTCAAGTGAAGATTATTCAGACTAAGATTTTCTTTCACTCTATTTAATCTTTTTTGTCATGTGTTTATTGATTTTTATTGCTTTAGTGGATTCCTTGTTGAACATGAGTGAGTAATTTTCTTGTTCTAGAATTCCTGGTAGCCCAATGAATGATTATGATTTAATGCTGTGATTTTTCTTACTATTATGAATGCTTGTTGCTTTTGATTTAATTCTAGTGTGTCTAATGCTTATGAATTTGTTGGCCGTTTATTTATATGATAATGGGTATTGAGTGAAAGACCGAGGGGTGAAATGTTAATGCCGGAACTGTAGGATTGAACATGAGATCTAAAATCATGAGAGTAGGTTTTAGTCTTTTGAGTGCTCATTAAAAATCAAAGATCGTTAATGAGTTTAAATTAATAAAATTACCATGAGAATAGGAGGTTGGTTAATTTAGGCACATTATTATACTTCCAGATGATATAACAATTAAAATAGGATAATTGACTTTCATAAGTGGCATTCATAATTAAGAGGGAGGGGGTCGTTACAATAATCGTAACCATCATTGTGGTGAACCGAGTTCTAGACATTCATCATTATTTGTATTTCTAAAAAGTTTCAGCTATTTATTTACTTTATTTGCTTTAAATTTTTACAACTCTCAATGTTTTCATTGGTTTAGCTAACTAGGTTGTAGGAATTTAGTAATTAGTATCTTAATCCTTGTGGGAACGATATTTTGTTACTACACGATAAGCCCGTGCAGTTGCGGTAGACACACAACAAGGTTTTGGTGCCGTTGTCGGGGACTTTGTCTTACTGATATTGATACTTTCTTCACATTGTTAGACAATACATTCTTTTTAGCTAGATCTTTTTATTTACTTTTGCTTTTTTATGTGCGATTATTTCTTTTGCATGACCAGGAGTGGACGTACTAAGAATTTAGTTGATCCAGATCCTGAAATCGAAAGAACTTTTTGTGCAAGAAAAAAGCTACAATTTGAGAAGAAATTTGTTTCCTTATCAAAAGCAACGTGTGAAAAAAGATCTTTGAAGGATTATACAGTACCTAGTACCAATAAGCTCTAATTGAGTATCACAAGGCCTACAATTGAAGCCAACAACTTTGAGCTTAAGCCTTCTCTTGTTTCCATGGTTCAAGAAAATCAGTTCGCAAGTTTACCTATTGAAAACCAGTGTGAAGGTTATATTTTAGCTCATTTGGTTGTATTGGAGATCATTTTAAAAAATGTTTATCCTTTTGAAGTTTGGAATGCATTCATTCATGTTCAATCTTTTGGCAACTCAATATTATATAACTTATAAGTTATAACTAATATATTTATAATTTTTTTGTTATAATTTAAAACTATTTATTACGTATTTATGACATCTCCGATTCTTTAGAGCAGTTAAAACCGGTTTGAACCATTGGACTAGTGAACCAGTAACCTCATTGATTTGCTTGCCGGTCCAGTTTTCAAAACATAGGCTGAAAGGAAGAATAAAACTATAATGGATATGGTGAGATCTATGATGAAAGCAAGAAATATACCCAAAGAATTTTGTGCTGAAGTAGTTGTATGTGTAGTCCATGTTTTGAATAGGTGTTCATCAATAGAGATTCGAAGAAAGACTCCGTATGAGATTTGGTCCTGAAAGAAACCCAATGTCTCTCATCTAAGAGTTTTTGGTTGTGTAGTTTATGTTCACGTGTCTGATGCTATTAGGAAGAAACTGAATGACAAGACCGAAAATATATTTTTCTGGGATGTAGCTTTGAGACAAAAGGCTGTAAGTTGTATAATTCGAAAACAAAGAAGTTTGTTGTTAGTAGAGCCATCATTTTTTATGATCATGCAACTTGGGAATAATCAGTGAAGGAGTCAGATAGTCCACAACTACCGCTACTCTTATATGTTGACGCAGAAGATGTGCATGATCAACCTTAAGAAACTAGTCAACAGTCTAGTATGAGTCCTCCAGTGTCTCGAGAAACCCCACGAAGACAGACAAGATTACCACCTCGATTGCAAGATTATGTTGTGGGTAGTGAAGTTGATGATTTGACTGATGAAGATATGGTCATTTTTGTTGTATTTGCATATTATGATCTGGTTGACTTTACTAAAGCTGTAAGAAATGAAAACTGGGTGAGAGCAATGGATGAAGAAATAGGTGGAATAGAAGACTAATACCAGGAAACTTGTTGATCTTCCTAGGGGGAAGAAACCCATTGGGGTGAAGTGGGTTTACAAAACTAAATACAAGTCCACTGGGGAGATTGATAGTTACAAAGCAAGATTGGTGGTAAGGGGATATAAGCAAAAGTCTGGAATTGATTATTTTGAAGTATTTGCATCGGTTGCAAGACTCGATACAATTTGTTTGATAATTTCTTTAGCTGCTCAGACCAATTGGAAAATTCACCATGTTAAATCTGCTTTCCTAAAAGGTGTACTTGAAGAAGAAGTTCATGTAGAGCATTTTGTTGGGTATGTCCAGAAAAGGCATGAGGAATTAGTTTACAAAATAAAAAGAGCATTGTATTGTGTTCAACAAGCTCCAAGGGCATGGTATACACGCATTGACATTTTTTTTTGGGTTAATAGTGGTTTTAAAAGGTGTCCATATGAACATACACTGTATGTCAAGTCCTTCAAAACCGCTAACATAAGTATTGTGTGTTTGTATGTTGATGGCATGATTTTCATCAGAAATGATGAGCAGATGATGACAAAATTTCGAAAGGGTATGGTTAGACAGTTTGAGGTGACAAAGTTGGGTCTTCTGTCCTATTTTCTTGGAATTGAAGTTTTACAGCTTGACCCTAGTATCCTCATTTCTCAGAGAAAGTATGCTAATGCTAAGACCATTTTGACTCCAGCAAGAGAGAGGTTGAAGTTGACAAAAAGATAAGTATGAAAATTTTGTAGATCCAATCTACTTTAAGAGTTTAGTTGAAAGTTTGAGATATTTTAGCTCCACAAGATTGGATATTAATTAAAGTGTTGGTTTGATCTGTAGGTTTATAGAAAATCTTCATCAATATCATTTACAAGCAGCAAAGAGAATTCTGAGCTATATTAAAGGCACACAGGGAGATGATATCTTGTATTCAAACAATGAATCAGTTGAGCTGGTTGGATACACTGACAGTGATTATAGTGGTGATACAGTTGAGAAAAAAAAGTATTTCTGGTTATAATTTCTTTATTGATTCTGTTATTTTTCATGAAGTTCAAAAAAAGAACTAGTGATAACATTGTCAACGGCAGAGGCAGAATACGTTGCAGTAACTAATAGTGCCACTCAAGCAATTTGGTTGAGAAGAATGTTTGGTTTTCTGCAGCACAAACAAGAGGGTTCGACCACAATATTATGTGATGATAAGTCATCTATTGATTTGACTAAAAATCCAGTTTATCATGGTCGTACTAAGCATATTGACATCAAGTTTCACTTCACTCGTGATTTGGTGCGTACAAAGAAAATTGTTGTTGGCTATTGCAAGACTGAAGAGCAAGTTGCAGACATTTATACAAAAGCGTTGAAGTTAGAGACATTTGTGAGAGATATGCTCGGGATGGTGAATGGAGGAAACTTAGTTTAAGGGAGGTAATGTTAAAAAATTAAACTAAGTTTATTTTCCTATTGGGATTGTGCTCAGGGTTGTTTTTGTAATTTTTTTTATTTAATTAAGGTTTAGGAAATAAGTAGCTTGCCTATATATATTTGGTTTTTGAAAGCTGGTAGACATGTATTTTGTGGTATAGAACGGTGCAGTAGGCCGACTTGAGGTGTTTTGTTTTTTGTTTGGTTAATCAATTTGATAGCACATGTTTTGATTTTGTTGAGGTATTAATTCATGTTTTCTTCTTCAAACTGTTGATGTCAATTAATTTTGGTTTCTATAGTAATTAAGTGAAACCATCATTGGCACCACCGTTGTTCGACATTGATGAACGGCGATCGACGTGGAAAAGTTCTGACCAATTTGTCAGAAAATTGGCCAACTAGCAGTGGTCTAGCGGCGCGCTGCCATTGTAGCGGGGTTCAACAATGGTTAACAAGTGGTCAAGGAAGGCTTTTGAAAATATATTATTTATTCTAATACGTTTTAAAATTAATTTCAAAATCTATCTCAGAACATGTCTCAAATCAACAAACACACAAAACTACCAAACAAAAACCAAAATAATCTAACAAAAGGAGTCATACACCTTTTTAGTCTACTTTAGACATGTCAACATGTTGATCATAAGAAAGGTCTAAAACGGGAATTCATCTTTTAAGGGTGATATTGCTCCCTGTACAAGACTTCAAGGGGCTATTTGCAATTTAATGTATGCAGTTAACAGTTACAGGCGCAAGCGGGGATTTCATAATCTTCTCGGATAAGAAGCAGACACTCACATCATCATCATCATCTCTCTGAACCTCACTCTGTGTTCAGAGAAAGCTTTGATGCTTTAATGGCGTTTTACTGCAATTACAATTCAGTCTCCATTTGTCAGAAACACATTCACCTAAATTCTTCATTTTTACCTAAATTCTTCCTACATGACGTTTCACTGACTCCTAAGAAGAAGCAAAGGAGGAGATGTTCGTTGCAAATTAGGGCCTCCGCTACTGCCACCGTCGTTGATACCGGAAATGGCGCCGCCGTCTCGGTTGCTGCTTCGGATTTGGCGACGACTTATGGCCGACAGTACTTTCCATTAGCTGCCGTTGTTGGCCAGGTTCGTCCACATTTTTCTGAATTGACGCTGCTTTCTACGAATTTGGCGTGCTTCCTTGGAGGATAATTGAACTTTTCTCTGCTTTGTTTGAAACATAATGCAAATTTAAATGGAATTCAAGTTATTCAACGTTGACCATCTTGTCGGAATGACAGCGAATTAGAACATGCGACTTCATACCAATGCCACTCTTTCTTCAATTCTAGAGCCAATAATTGATGGAATGATTCACTACTCTTTTACATTACTCATCGAAGAACACTCATGCCAGTTACTTTACTGATGATACCAAAAATTGCATCATTTTCTGGAATTTCTCAACAGTTGTTTGTTCTGTTTTTGAGCTGTTCTTTGAAATACAAATATTCGCACCTTCTATCAGCCAACTTTTTGTGCTAGACTATGCTTAAAGGAGTGAGCATTTGAAACATAGAGCGAACTGAACGAAAAAAGTTAACATATAAATGCTTTCGAGATCTCTCAATAGTTACTTTTTTCCTTTATCTTTATAAAATTCTGCCAAGTGGACACATTTGGATTTCCTTTATTGGATTTCATTTATCCAGTATGGGGAGAATTAGTTTGTTCAGTCACCGAAATCATTAGAGGGTTTTGTCACATAGTTTCTCAATTTCAAGCTTAAAATTAGTGGTACTTTTTTATGGTCTATCTGGAGAAGGTTTTGAGGGCATTGTAATCAGAATGAGCCACAGCTAAATATTTCGTTACCGCTTGTGCCATTTGCTGAACTTCGGCAGAAAACTCGTTATTGGAAAGAAGGTTGATCACGTTATCCGTTAGTGAGGCTACTTTTCTAGTCTCTATCAGAAAGCTGTTTTTGATTTCAGTTTGAATGGGGAGAGTTGTAATGTGAATCCTACTGATAATGTACACACTACACTTCTTTGTTACTTGTTGCTGAGAGTTTGCTTATTTGCAGGCTTGCAGCTACTTAATATATCTTACTGGTCAATATTTTCCATATCCTATGTTAAATTCCATTCGTATTTGATAAGGAGATTAATTTCGAAAAAATTTCCTTTGTTTTTTCTTTTTCGAAAATGTTGTCCATAGAAATCTTTTAAGGAAGAAAATTTATCCACAACAGGATGCTATTAAAACTGCTCTGTTGCTGGGGGCTGTTGATCGTGAGATAGGAGGGATTGCAATTTCAGGGAAGCGAGGAACTGCTAAAACAGTCATGGCTCGTGGTTTACATGCAATTTTGCCACCAATTGAAGTAGTTGCTGGTTCAATGGCCAATGCTGATCCTGCCTGCCCTGAAGAGTACGTATCCTGGTTGGAGATTAATTCTGCATCTGTATTGTCTGGCCACCAAGACTGAAAACATGTTTCGATGATTTGGGTTGAAATTGACATTTGTTGTTGGATCCCCTTATATGTGATGTTTGCACAGGCGTCTACTGGCTTTCTTCCTGAATCTTTGTTTGGTTTTCTCTTCCAGCTTTCTTTATGCATTGTCTTTGCGACCCCAAACTTCATTCTCACATTCAAAAACCATCAGGATTTGTTAAATATCTATAAATAGGTATATTTGAAATATCAATAATTAGGTATAAGTAGGTTATTTTTTGGGTGTTTTTGCTGCAGAACTAAGATCGACAAGGCATAGAACTCTCTGCAATTTTCTTTGTTCTTGGGAGTTGCTTGAGTTAATGCAAACTTTAATTACTAAATTTCAATTTATCCCAGAGAATATATGGGCTTAACTCTTTACAGACTATATGAAAGCTTTATGTAAAGTAAGATTTCCTTCGCGATTTGATGGCTTTATACTGGTGGCTGTCAGTGAAGGTCTAGGTTTCCTTGTGTTCCTTTATTTAGTGTCTCTCACAATAATGTAGGAAGTAACTACAGATAGGCATTATAAACATGTCAACCTGTGAATTCCTGGGGCACAGTTATATTCCTAGGCTTCAGAGTAAAATAGATGCTTTAACTTTTCTGCATCTCCTCCGAAATCTGGATTGACAGGTAAAGACAAGATTGATATGGGTTCCCTGAATGACTTCGGTGGCTTCTATAATCACCTTGAGTGCTCTTTTTCGCATCTGCATATTAGCTATTTTTTCAGTTTCTTTTTTCTGCTATCCCCATTTGTTTTAAGTCTCACTTTATAAATTTCTGAAGTTCAGATTACCTCCTCTGTGGGTTATGTTTATGTTATAGATATATGACACATCAATAACTTCCATTCATTTTGCTGCATGCAAGGGCGTCTTTCAAAGCAAAGTATGTTATTCATTAAGAGTGAGTTATGTCCTTTTTGATAAATAGAGCTGATGCATGTACATTCAGCTTTAGCATTTTCTGGGGCTGGAATTGTAAGGTGTAAATATATTGACTGTCATACCGTAGTTTCTTATTTTCATGTTCTTTTTGGAGTAGAATTTGTTTTCTTCCATGATTTCTGAATGGGTTGTCAAATTATATCATATATTTCTTAGCCCAAGTTACATGAAGCTCAGTATCTTCATTTAGTTTTCTCAGTGACTATTGTAATCTGGGTAGTCTTGTCTTTTATTTTTTTAGACCAAAGGCTATTGGTTAGTGTATCTATGAGTTAACAAAATGTGTTTTACGCTGCGCTTATGTTAGATGTTTGGTTGCTCTTGGAGTAGTGGAATCTAACAATATTTTTATTTCTAAAGGTGGGAAGATGGACTGGCTGGGAAAGTTGAATATGATTCTGCTGGTAATATCAAGACCCAGATAATAAAATCCCCTTTCGTTCAGGTAGTATTTTTTCATTCCTGAAACTATGTTGAAGTGCATATATTTTTTCTTCTATCTGAAGCTTGTTGCATATGTGCTACAGATACCTCTTGGTGTGACTGAAGATAGATTAATTGGATCTGTTGATGTTGAAGAATCTGTGAAATCAGGAACAACTGTTTTCCAGCCTGGTCTTCTTGCTGAAGCTCATAGAGGAGTCCTTTATGTTGATGAGATAAATCTGTTGGATGATGGCATTAGTAATTTGCTTCTAAATGTATTGACAGAGGGAGTCAATATTGTGGAAAGAGAGGGAATCAGTTTCCGACACCCTTGCAAACCACTTCTAATAGCAACTTATAATCCTGAGGAAGGTGCTGTACGTGAACATCTCTTGGACCGGATAGCAATAAATTTGAGGTAACACTGTCAGCACTTCATTGTCAGTTTTAGGACATAAATGGCTGATTTTTGCTCTGGCTACTTCCTGGCAAAACACGAACCACTGTCCTTTCGAGCAAGAAGCTTCCCATTTTTAGTTCCCATTTATGTTTGAAACTAAGACTTCATTTCTTGATAACTACACGAAATTATAATTACTTTTTCCCCAATCGACTGTAACTCATCATAGTGTGTTACATTATACTGATCGATTCATTTCTATCTGGATTTTCAACTTATTTCTTCATTGGTTTGCTTTTCGAGTTGTGGATTTTCAACCAAGTTCTTTGCTAATGACACTGTTTTTTTGCAGTGCAGATCTTCCAATGAACTTTGAAGATCGTGTTGCAGCTGTTGAAATTGCAACGCAGTTCCAGGAGCAGAGTAATGAAGTTCTTAAAATGGTGGAAGAAGAAATGGAATTCGCAAGAACTCAGGTTCTCTATGAAGAAATGGAGAAAAATTTGTTTCTAATGGGTTTTCAAATCAACAGAGGACGTTTTCTTTATTGATGTAGTGCTATTTTCTCATTCAAATTATGCAATACAAAACTGTTCATGTGTTGCAGATAATCTTAGCGAGGGAATATTTAAAAGATGTTACCATTGGCAGAGACCAGATGAAGTACTTGGTTATGGAAGCCCTACGTGGAGATTGTCAGGTTTGTAATATAAATGTCTCTGCTATTTGTATATGGAAGTTGCTCCTTGACAATGTTTTCAATACTGTACTTGGCGTGCTTAAAGTGCACTGAATGTGAGAAACTGAGAGTTCTACCCATAGCAACATGAAGCTCTATTTGATGTGATCCGTGTTAATTCTCATCCATTTCTTTTACACCTTATGTTTATTTGATCAAAGCCAGCCAACGGGCCTTTATTTTCTTTATGAGTTCTGGTGATATCCTGCATGTGGATATGCGTGTACAAATTACTTCAGTAAACACTTCATTATCTGGAATTCAGAATACACTGTGCCTCTAAGACTGAAACCATTAGAGAAGCTCTAGTCAGTGAACGCTATGTATATGAGCTCTGTATTTTGTGATGTGCCTGCATAGCAGAATAATCATCTGCACCTTCATCAATCTTTGTTTTGCTGTCTCACATAATGTTAATCTCAAGACACTTTAGTTTAAAATAGGCCTTAAATCGCTTCATTTTTCTTTTTCCTACATTTCCTGGCTGTTTTTTTTTTTTTGTAAGGGAACCTGTGAATCAAAGAGTGAGAGGACTTCTTCGTTTTTCTTGCCAAAATTATTAAAATGTTAAGAACAAACCAATAGCATCATATAGTTGCTCAACCAAGTAGCATCTATCATGTCATTACAGGGTCACAGAGCAGAACTGTATGCTGCTCGTGTTGCTAAGTGCTTAGCTGCACTGGAGGGACGTGACAAAGTTAACGTGGATGACCTCAAGAAATCTGTAAGCATTTATTGTTTCTCATTTCCTTGTATATCTGATTTTGAGATTTGAAAATCTAAAGAGACATTTATGACTTTTAATTGATTATGGATGTGCTCTAAAGCTAATAGACATTGCTGCAAATTGTTAATGAGAGTATCAGCTTTCTGGAAAAGCATGTAGATGATGCTTGTTATCTTTCAGCTCATGTGCCCGGGTGAAAAATCTTCTTTAAGTTTGATTTAGTCAGAGTTCATGTTCATGGAATTATTTATGTGATTGCAAGCATAAGTAACTTCAAAATTGTTTTCCTGTTTTTTGGCGGGCTTGGTTATCCCTCTATTAATAATTGAATCAAAGCTGGTGGAAGATTCTGTGCTAGGCCCGGGGACTTCAAACCGCACAAATTTTGTTAAGATTTGTAGAAGAGAAACTAAAATTTGATTCACAATGGGCCATTTTGTATTATTTAGGTTCTGGTATAAACTATCAGTTTGTATGGTTTAAGGATATTCCGTCTATCAAATAGTGCTTTAAATGTTAATTCTCTGGCCAATATTGAACATTAAGGCATCAGCTAATAATGACCGAATAAACATTCGAGACATCATTTTACAACTAAAGTACTTAGTTGCCTTCCTGCAAAAGTAGATATAAAGTGGCTTCCCGCATGCTTTTTCCAACAGCCTTCCATGTTACACCCATGAACTTCTCAAGAGTAAGAATCTATAAAAATAAGCAAATGTTCTTTCTCTAAGTATCGTAATAGTTAGGCTTGGTTGAACTTACAGTAAGTTACATCGCATCGAGATGATTCCAACCTCATAGTTACACATGCCTAGAAAGGGCACATAAATCACACCTATTCTAGATTTTAAGAAGAGTGGGGGATAGTAGCTGCATAACTCATTTGAAAATTATAGCTGGATAGATTCATTTGGTCACCCTAACAGAGGAAAAGATCTTGAAGGTATATAGGCAATATTGATCACATATTTCAGCTTAATGTTCTCTAAAATCACACATTTACCATTTAGGTTAAAGCATATCATAATCTGTTTATCTACGTCTTGTAATGAGGCAACTCTACGGCTTCTATATGGATTCCAAACCATCTCACGTTTGTTTTTCTAATTTTTTGCCTGCTGGACTAGTGGCACTTCTTTCAAGTGCATGCAGTACTTAATATATGCCGTCTTGTGTGCCACAAACACATAATCTAAAGCCAATGGACCCCTATTATTGTTCAATTCAAACAAAAGAAAAATGAAAAAAACACCAAGTAGATTACATCTGACTTGTGAATGTAACAAGTGAGTCTGTTGCTGAGTTCAGTCTCCTCATAAGTATGAGTAGAACTCCTGTATCCTCAACTTCTACGAACAATTCTATCTTCCAACTGCCAGGAGTTTCCTTTTAAGATTTTATCCAGTAAAATCAAGTCTGCTTCTATACTAAAAATATCATATCTTCATCTAAATAACTAAAGCTTCCATTTTTCAATATTTGATTCGATGCTTTAATATAACTAAATTATGTACAACCAGACCATATGCATCCCTTAGTGCTACACCACCCCGAAGGACTAAGTTAGCTCAGTAAGACATTTATGACCCGGCCAAGTTGAAGCTCAGAATAAATGAAGGAGAACTCCAGTACACCATCCTTAGGCCTTTTGGCTACAAGCAAAGTTTTGAAAATGCTATTTCTTAGTATTCTCTTCTCAAGATCTCCTCAATGCCTAACCATATCCAACAGCCAATTTGGATACTTGCAAGCCAATATCCCAAATTCACATTGGGACTCTTTTGAGGTTCCCTCAAACAATGAGTTTTGAGTCTCCATGCCTCCCAACAGATCAGTAACAGGATGAACTATTGCATCTAGGATCAAAGCAAGGATAGTGTGAAGATAAACCTTTGGGGTGAAGTGGATACTTGGTGTCTAATTGAGGAAATCTGATATTTGGAATGTTACTATTAAAGATGACACAAGTTGGTACTGGAACACGCTCATAAGGCTCGAGGAGAAGATGAAAAGTGGTCTTTTAAAGCATAGATGGCTAGCACATGTAAATATTAGATACACTATTGCTCACTGAATACAAATGGTTGGAAGAACACAAACATTGTAGCATGATTCCTTTGGAGTAGGCTTACCTTGCCGAAGCACTGTTTTATCAGTTGACTAGGCTGGAAGGGCAGGCTGCTAACTAAAGACAGGTTACTAAGATTAAACATTCCCGTTGATCATCTGAGGTGTGTGTTGTGTGGTGTACATCAGGAAAAAGCACTTCTGTTTTCTGACTGTAATTATGCATCTGAGTTGCGATACAAAATATGGAGTTGGATCAATTTGAAGCTCGTGTCTACTGATTTAAGGCACTGGAAATGTATGCTATATCTGTGGAAGAACTATCCTGCCTAACAGAGATACTTGTTTGCGCTGTTTGTGCATTGATCTATATCTTGTGGTAGGTTAGAAATAAGATGATTTTTAGCAGAAGCATACTGGCGCAGATATATTCTTTCAAGAAATTCGAAGCAACTGAAATGGAGTGTTATGGTGTCGCAAGAAATTGAAGCACAGTGAACTGGATACTTCCAGGACTTAGTAATTTTTGCATAGCTTTGCGTCGGTAGGTTTGCGTATGTAATGTGTATAGCTTGTGTGGAGTAACTGATTTTTTTTGGAGCAACATTCTTATAATGAAATTTGGAATCGGTTCAGTTAATTACCATTTTACCCCCAAAAAGTGAGGCTGTAGACTATTCCTCCATAAAGTAAGTCTTCCCAACCAAGGCCTTCCATTGACCTCGCTCCAGCTGCTTGGAAAATAAAACTCCTACACTGTTGCTGGCAAAGGAGCATCCCTAGAGCATTACTTTTTGGAAAGCGGAATGGGCAAATGAATTTGAATTTCAAATGTTCCTTACAAACCACTGGATGTATTAGCATTCATTTCCTTTCTTCTTTTTTGTTGTTCTGAGAAATTTGAGTTCTGATTACAATGTAAAATTTCACCAATTAACCTGCATATTAGAATTTTTTGTTTCTCGGATGCCAACTAGGAAAATAAGTTGAAGACTAATGAGTATTTTTGTCGAGTGTCTGACTATAACTGTGTTGTGTTTTCTCTTAGTTCTGATAATGATTTTAGATTCAATACCTTTTCCATATTGCAATTCTTTTTCAGTCTTTTATTGTATACCATTACCAATTCTGACATCTCGGTCGATCATGCAGTGTTTTAAGATTTATAAATTTGCTTTTCCTATGAGTTAAAAATCCCATTTTTACTCTGCGAGACAGGTCGAATTGGTCATACTTCCACGTTCAATCTTTGTCGAAAGTCCTCCTGATCAGGAAAAGCAGCAACCTCCTCCTCCCCCTCCCCCTCAAAATCAAGATCCGGCTGAAGAACAGAATGAAGAAGAAGATGAGGTTCTTGAGCTTCTGCACTGTAGATTTGTCTTTCATTCTTTGCAATTGTCCCATGAACTTTCTTATTCCTTTAATATATCTTTCGCTTTGAACATAGAACTTTTCTTTGACTAGAATGACAATGATGAAGAAAATGAAGAGAACGAACAGCAACAGGATCAAGTACCTGAAGAATTTATCTTTGATGCTGAAGGGGGTTTAGTGGATGAGAAACTTCTTTTTTTTGCGCAACAAGCACAGAAACGTCGAGGAAAAGCTGGGCGAGCAAAGAATGTTATATTCTCCGAGGATAGGGGACGATACATAAAGCCCATGCTTCCAAAGGTTAATGCTCTGCCTTGAGCTACTAGGTTTAGCCGCTTTCAAAGCTCTTGCTGAGTTTGATATTATTTTGTCACGTGATCACTAGACAATCCAAAATTCGACCTTAATTTCTGTAGTTGATCTTCTGATGAACAGGGACCAGTGAAAAGATTGGCTGTTGATGCTACCTTGCGAGCTGCTGCACCATATCAGAAATTGCGAAGGGAGAAGGACACCCTAAAGAGTAGAAGAGTTTTTGTTGAGAAAACTGACATGAGGGCGAAAAGAATGGCTCGAAAAGCTGGAGCCTTGGTAATTTAATCCTCTTTTACATGCGGCAAGTTTTTTGTTTGACAGCTTCGCATCCGCATCATGATACTAAGTAGCTGATCGCCCTGAATAGATGCATAGACAAAAGTAATGGAAAGCCAGCGTAATCATGGCATCTATATTTATTTGTTGTGGTTTTGCTGTTTCAGATCATTGCCATAATGTTTATTGTTCGTGTGACATCATTATACCCCTTTTTTGTGAAGTACACGAATGTTAAATCACTTCACTTGCATAACTGGTCAGCATTTCATAACCAATTGATTTTAATTTGTAAGCATATCCCATGGCATTTTAATTTGTTTTACCTTGGCTAATGGGTTCGGTTAATTTATTCTTCTTGTAGGTGATATTTGTTGTTGATGCTAGTGGCAGTATGGCATTAAATCGTATGCAGAACGCAAAGGGTGCCGCCCTTAAACTGCTGGCAGAAAGTTATACTAGCAGAGATCAGGTGCATGCTTTCTTCGTTTATACGGAATATGTTCGATATTTGTCCAATTTATGGCATTTCATCATTTATCCTGTATTATCGAAATAAGCGGTTAAGATTCATTCTAGGAGGAAAAAAGAAAAAGAAAGAAAAAGCATTTGAGGTTAAAAACACTTCCTAATTAGTGGCTAGCTGGAAGAGACCCGGGGGGTGATGGGGACTCCACTTCGCCAACTTCTTATTGAGTGGACAAAATGTTTAACAGTCATCATCTCTGACTAGATAAAGTTGAAGGTAGAAGAGGTAATTTGTCAAGATCAACTCGGGAGAGTTCAATTTAATTCTATAAATGCTTTTTCAGTTGGTGTGCTGTAGGAATTAAAAGGAAAACATCCTTGCTAAACATTACAGTGAATTGAGTTTTGGTACTCATATATCATCTTAGACGAATTTTGTTCAGGATGAACTTACCTGAAATGCCATGTTAGGAACTGTTGCTTTTTCCCATTTGTTAAGGTGCATATTAAGTGACACTAAATTTAGTTCAACATCCTTCTTTTAGGATATGGGAACACTTAAGATTCTATGTATCCACCTATATAAGTAGTCCTGTCAAATCTCTGGTAACAATTGGAAAAGCATATGGAGACTGTTGAAGTTTGAGTTTAAAGAGCTGGAAAACTCCTAGAAATTCTTTGGTTTCTTAGCTCAAGATTATTTAGTTGCCTAATTGGTCAGTGTGACAGAATACCACACAAACAATTTCTTCTAGTTACCTCAAAAACTTAGAGTTGCTTTCTTGTGGAAAAGTAATATATCTCTCTTTGTTCTTTTGATTCTGTATCTTAAATAGGTTTGCATTATCCCTTTCCGCGGAGATGCTGCAGAAGTTCTCTTACCTCCTTCAAGGTCCATTGCAATGGCCAGGAAACGTCTAGAGAGACTGCCCTGTGGCGGGGGTTCTCCATTAGCTCATGGTCTTACCACGGTATTTCAATGTTTTTGTATGATAAATTTTTATTTTCATGTTTCTTATGAGTTTTGAAAGTTCATATCTTTTTGTTGGATGGAGCTGTTTATATATATATATATCTATATATATATATATATTTTAATGGGTCCTCCTTCAGTTTCATATATTTCTTAATAAAATATTTTCTCCAAAACTATTCAGTGACATAATTGCCTTCTTGTTAATTCTGAATTACTCCAATAGGCTTATTCATTTATCTTTATTTGAACTGCTCAGGCTGTGAGAGTTGGGCTTAATGCTGAGAAAAGTGGCGATGTTGGTCGTGTAATGATAGTTGCAATAACTGATGGTAGAGCCAACATTTCTCTTAAAAAATCTACTGATCCTGAAGCTGTTTCCCCAGATGCACCTAGACCATCCACACAAGAACTGAAAGTAACATTCTTTCCTCCTTAATTTTGACTACTAATTGCATATGTTAATGTTTGTTAATGATTTAAGGCTGAAATTCACCTGCTTTTGTACATAACTCTTCAGCTAAATGCCTAAATATGTGACCATAGGATAAGATGACATAAAATAGCCTGATACCCAATTTCGAAGAACATCTTGAGCCTGTTAGACTAGATGAGGAGAAGAAGGCTACAACTTTAGTTTACAAAGCTGTGAGATGACCACACAACACAACTACGCTGACTTTATCTAACTATATGGATTAAAAAGAAATTTTGACCTTAATTCTAAGAACTTGGGAAAAAAGAAAGTAAAGATAAGATAAAAGACATGCTAATATTATGCCTGTTCCATCATATCTAGCAATCTGCAGCTAATATTAGACAATTTCTGTGTACATGTTTGCAATTCATTGAATTCGATGACCTGATCGAAACTCTCTGTAGGATGAAATCCTTGAGGTTGCTGGTAAGATCTACAAATCAGGGATGTCACTGCTTGTCATTGACACCGAAAATAAGTTTGTTTCAACAGGGTTTGCTAAAGAAATCGCAAGAGTTGCTCAAGGTTCGTCTCAAACATACCTTTGTGATATTTTGCAGGTTAAGTAATCAAACATGAAAACATCTCTTTTGCATTTCGGTTTCAGGAAAGTACTATTACTTGCCTAATGCTTCGGATGCTGTTATCTCCGCAGCAACAAAGGATGCTCTGTCTGCCTTAAAGAGCTCGTAATATTTGAGATTTTATTTACTGTGCAGAAAAGGAGGAGGATTTTGTCTCTTCCTCTGTCTATACGAGCAGCAGTTTAGTGCATATTTACCAACATTTTGAAAATCATAGTAATTTACCTCCTCAGTACTCCCTTGTGTGTTTTTCTCCCCCAAAACGATGATTTTCATCAGTTCTAGCCTAATCTAATATAGATGTCTCTTCATTAATCACAGATGACCGAAAATTCGATTAACTATACACCGTTTTAAAAGATGGATCCTGAGATTAATGTATTCCCTTTTACATGTCCAATAGCTTCTTGTTCGAGTTTTCATGTAAAGGAGGCTTAAAGCTATAATAGTTAACAGTAAGTAAAACAAAATTGATTATATCGTTCATTTGCTTTGCTTGTTTTGTTTTGTTCTTCTTCTTCTTCTTCTTCTTCTTCTTTATTTTTTACTACTTCCGTCCCAAAAAAATAGTCTACATTGAGTTCTTAAATTTGTACTAAAAGTAATTCAAAACTTAATATGAACTATTTTTGTGGGACGGAAAAGTATTTTTTATTTTGCCTAAGTAGTTTATAATCTATATGTAAAGCAAAACAGTTTACAATCTATATGTTAAGTAATTTATAATCTATATGTAAAGCAAAACAGTTTACATATCAGCTTTGCTGTCATTGAGGTCACTATGCAACTGTTGCATTGTCAGGCAATAGCTTCTAAGACCACGAGGAAGACGACCTTTCGCCTCTCTTCCCCTTCCTACGAAGTATTCTGCACTTCGGAGAAGAGATTCTCCTCCAAGTACATCTCTTAAAGAACTGTTTATCTCAGGGCTTGCCGTTAATGAGTCCGAAAGGGTGTTGACATTGATGGGCCTATCAAACTAGAGTCATCATTCAGCAAGTTCTGGAATCGCAGTAGATTTTCCTTCAAAGGGGTTTGAAATTCTTTGGAATCCAGTCTTCCTCTACTCTTATTTGCTTTCGATTCACCACATTCACTTCATTCCCTGTTGAAAGCCTGATTCCAAATGAATTTCTCTTCTGAATTATTTGCTGTAACGAATTAGAATGCTTGAACATCAAAATTGAATAATTAGGGCTTGAACTTAACTTTCAGTTTATGGAACTTACACAAGCATGTTGTTATGAAAAAAATATGCTCAATGCAATGACAATTTCAATCCATTTTCCAGAGAAATTATTCAGCCCACAAAACTCGGCTATAACCGATTAATTAGCTTCAGAATCAATCTCCACTTCAAAGCTACGCATGGCGACTCGGACAGTCCGAGGATATAAGCAACTCTTTCAAATTTTTTAAATCGGGAATGAATGAGACAATACCCATATTTCATTCTAAGTATGCTAATACAGTTTAACTCTTGTTGTGACCTCAATTAATTGCAAAGATCACTTATTTTCTTTTTCTTTTTTTTTTTGACAAATCCAAACTTATTTTGGAACAAGAAGAATAGTACTCCATTAGTTCATAATTGTAAGACACAAATTTGAACTAATTTTAGTGTCAACTTGTACCACACATGTAGGATAAGAGGGATAATGTTATCGTGAAGGTTCACTTTTTTCTTTCCCCTATGTAAACATTCCTTTTGCTTAACTTGCATAATATAAGACTGCGATAAAAATAGCCGAAAGAATACATTAATACTATTGGTTAATCAGACCAAACAACAATTGCACGGTTGCATGTTTTCAATATTCGTACTTTAACAAGACCATATGACGAGCAGCACATAAGATGGTACTTCCAAGTTCCAACTCATGAAATGCTACGTTTAGAGGAATAGTTAAATAAAACAATTCGAAAGGGGCAACTCTCTTTAATTATCCTCTGATAGATAATATAACTATATAACTAAAAGGTAAACTGTGTAAGAGAGAATAATATTAGAAAAATCAAATAAACACGATAATCATTTTAATAGGTCCTCCAAAAGCTTTACAAACTTCTTTAGGCAATGACAAATTGAATATCTCATCTCTAGAATACTTTGTAGTATCACTAGTATTATCGATAGAATATTTATCAAGAAACATTGCACTGGAATTTCCGACATCCAAATCATCGAAATTAAATAACCCTTCAAGATTCCAGTCCTCAAATTCAGACCCAATGTAATTAAACTTAGCCGCCGAATCTTTAGTCTCTGGATCATCAAAAACGCCCACTTTGTTGCCCTGAACTTCAAGAACCGATCGGTCGCCGACATCGGACTTTGGGTACGGATGTTGAATATTCTCCCTTATTGCTGTATTAAACCTTCGTTTTTGTTGAGCTTTAAACGATGGATCGACAAGAAAAGGTGTTCCCAGAACCGAAATTAATTCAGATAGCCCTTCTTTAATTCTTGCTTCTATTGCGGGATTGGTTTGATGCCCTAATCTCTTGAACTTTTGCTGAAACTTTGTGAATAGTATTTCTTCTTTCCGGCGAACACGTTCGGTTTTCGGTCCTTGATTATGGACGATTGCCATGGTTGAGTGAAGATTTCTTGAGGAAAAAAAAAGAAGAAAAAGAATTTGGGGAGAAGATTAATAAGACTTCAGGATTGTTTTCTTGGGGCTCAAGATTGAGTTAAAAATGGATGGTATATAGTGCAGCCCTACCAAATAATAAAATTTTTTCCTTGGATGTGTTAATAATTCTCTCGAAAAAGTAGAATATTTCCTAAAGTAAATTACTAACTAGAATTACTTTCACTGTAATAATACGAGAAATAGGGCAGTTAGTTAATTATTATTTGTGAAAAATGCCTAATTTATTATATATAGTATTTTTTTTCCCATCTATAACACAGTGTCGACCCCAAGTAAACTTTGGTTTCTTCATGGTTACCGACTAATCTATTTTGTCTACAGGTACAGTGCTTGCCCAAAATGCTTCATTGCGTTTTAAAAGCCCCCGAAATACAAATTTTTATTTCAAGGATTGAACGTTTACCTTATCTTCAAATAACGTATGGAAACATAGTTCCCATCTTACCAAACCAAATCATCAATATAAAATTTTCTCATCGTCGGCAGTAATTTTAAATTGGAGGGTGAATATACTGATTGATAATTTGATTAGTAACTTGCAAGATATTGAAAATATTTTAGTTTGATTTATTTATCACAAAATTATTATGAGCATTGATCCTTTTCACGCTCCACTCGTATCCCGTAAAGGTAAATAGTCTTTTTTTTTTTACTTGACAAATTGACAAGTACAAAATAAGACCCTTGCGGCCACTTTGCTTAGTTTTCTTTTAACAACTTCATTGCCGGTGCTGAGCATTTTAATCGAAACCCAAAGTTTTGTTGAAGTCCCTCTATTTTGTTCATAAGTGATAAGTCTGTCTTATCTCATTAATTGGACTTGCTGCTAGGCTACATGTTTGACTCCGGGAAAAATATTGATTTAATCCAAACGTTTTGCTATAGTCGTCAATTTAGTCTAAACGTTTGTTCTAATTGTCGATTTTATCCAAAGGTTTGACTTTTGTAGTCGAGTTAGTCCCTTGAATGAGAATACCTCAAACTAATTTAAATTAACCGTAATAATATAGAAGTTTTCAAAAATTGAACCTTAAAGGGAAAAGAACAAAAAAAAAAAAAAAACTTTATTGCTGCATCTATATATATGTGTCCTAAATGATGATATATATACGACATTATAATAATAAGACCTCATTTGTGAAACTATAAAACATAAAAAAAAAGCCTGATTATTTAAATGAGAGGAATGATTTTTTTTTTCTTTCTTCCAGTTTCAGTAATTCATTTTTCTCTCCTCTCACTTGATTGGAACAAAAAAAATCTTATTGCTTCTCAGTTCTCACCTTCTAAGATACGTGTATTGCACATGCTTCCTTTATGGGTTTTTGATACTGAATTAGAGAAGAGCCGACTCATCTCCCATTGTTTGTGGCCAAAATTTTTTTTTCTTTCAAAAAGATGTTACTTTGTTGAAGTTGAAGAACTAAATTAAAAATATGTTGAGGCTGAAAGATCAAAACGGATATATCAAAGTAAACTTAATTGTTCATTTTCTTGAAATTTTGAGTATTTAGAATCCAGGTCTCAGTCGTTTAAAGGCTAGTTAATTTCTCTAGTTTTGCTGATTAAGGAGTCCATGCTAGAAGAAAGAAAGAGACATATTTTATTAGGTAGAGTGAAATATCTAAATTAATTTATTTTTTCCATTTCGAAAAGAAATTTTGACGTTCAAGTGATCATGTGGGATAAATGTTGGTTACGTTATTTTTTTCTTTTTAATAAAAAAAGTGATTTGGTTTTGCACAAAACTACTTCTCAAAATGATTATGTGTTAATCGGACAATAATAACATTTGACTACATCTTATGAGCTCTTAAATATCAGAACTGTGTACCGTTAATGACAAATATGCTGCATCGATCTCTCATGTCCCTTTCATCCGGGAAAGGAAAAATGGCAAAGCCCACCCAACATTCAGGAAGCTTATTGTTTAAATTTTCCTGAGCGTTGTGTTGAGGATTTTCTTCTTATTTTTGTTAATCAAATACAACACAATTTGAAGGACTCCAAAGAAGCCCAAGAATGTTTAGAGTACTTGGAATTTACTTGCACTACTTTATACGTAGTATCCAAATAAAATTGTAAAAGCAAATCTCTCACTATTATGGCATAAAATCTTTTCAATCTCTTATTAGTTCACAGAACTTGTGAAAATCACGTGCAATTTAGTTAGTAAAAATTGTGCAAATCACGTGCAATTTGTATATTTGAGGGTTATAACAATGTCAATATAGCAATGTCAATAGTCATGATTGAAGGATAATCTCATTTATTGCATTTAGTAACGGCTCGTGGGAGCTTGTGGTTGAAATTTTAGTTTGGACGTGAATTGTCATCACATGGGAGTGTAAGGGTGTATATTGTGGGAATCGTTCAAATTTTAAGTATCTTTTTTCCATTTTGAGAATCGTTCAAATTTATATTATTCCTTTGTACTAACAATTGGCAACGCCAGACGAAGTAACAACACGCATCCCAGGATAAACCAGTACATCCACCGCCAACGTTTACTATGTCGCTAGCTCACGGGAGAACGTAAAAAATTATGTCGAAAATAAAAGAAAAAAGTCCTCTAAGCATCGTTGCCTTTTCGTTTTGATGGAAAGTCCAATTAGTGATTATTTCTGATCGAGCTGATCCGAACAATCCCAGTAAAAAGGCATGGGCTCCACCGCAATTGTGCTTCTGGATATACAGTCCAGAAAGGGCGTTGTCTTCAATCCCCGAGATTAGGAAAGTGAACCCGATTTTCGCAGAACCGACTTCTCATTCCATCAGGATTCCAATGATTATTAAACCACGGATATTGAATACAAGATGAAGGAGCCCGTCATGTAGCCACATTGATGTCAGTATTCGCTGTACATGTCACGGTGTTCACAAGTTATTTGATAGTTCCACTCACTATAAAAATGTGACCTAAAATTCTTTTTAGGAGGAATATTAGGGCATCTTTAACTGTAAACTAGCATCGGCACCGGCACAACAATGGCTTGAACCAATTGAATATCTAAATATATATAGATATTGAACATTACAAGATCTTTAACCAAAAAAGTAGCCACCAATTGAATAAATATATTTAGATATTAAGGTTCTTAAAAAAATTTTCTATAGCTTTTAATGATGGGACCCACACCTCCCCTCTCTCCTTGGTTTATATCCATTAACTTTCTCTCTTCAACTTTTTTTTTTTTTTTTGGTTATAATGAAAGAGGCTAATGCCTAAAGTACTAGAACAATAAACAATCATATTTTTTAGAACTATCAATAGGAATAATGAAACTCGCTACCAAGGTCAAGCAATAATCACATTGTAGTTGTCCAACCCAATTGCTACACAAATCGCTCCAGAAAATTTATAGCCTTCCTGATCTTGGAATCTTCTATGCTCAAACAGTATAGTGACAGTTAAACAGTATTCTTTCATGTGACAAAATACATGAGAAGAGAGGAGATGAACCTTAAAGGCTACTTGGGACTGTAGATCCCCAGGTCATGGTTTCATCCATGGCTTGGTCATCTTCAGCTAGACCACCATCACTTCGCCACCTAGCTTCCGGTTCCTCAGAAAAAAGGACTTTTCCTCGGATTGAGATTGTTGTTCTCAATCATTAGATCTTCTCCTGGATCAAACTCATTTATTCTTTCATCATGATCCCATGATTTTTGAGTAGGACTAGTCATGATCACAACCGCTTGATGTTTTGTTGGGTCAAGTGTAGTTTTAACTGGAACAACATATTGCGCATCTGATGTATGGATGCTTCCAAATCCATAATAGCATCAGATTGAGCCGCCAGCCTAGAGTTAACAGTGTCAAGTGTCTCAATGGGTCGTGGAGGAGAAATCTTAGCTGGTCTGGGTGTTACAGTCTTACTCTATCCATTCCTTTTCTTTGATTGACTAGCCTCCCGCCTCCCATCACCGTATTACCACCATTACTCCCTTCTCCTGATTTTGTACCAATCGGAAAATTTAAATCCACATTATTCAAGTTAGCAAGCATATCAAATTTAGAATCGGAATTCTCATGCTAATTGATATTTTTTCTAAGTTTATCCATAGCCCATGTATCACGCCGGAATCGGGGTACTGTATCCTTCCCCGAACGGGGTTCCCTTACACCACTGTCTTCGTTCTTATGGTTTTGCTGCGGGATATCAGGGCAATTAGCACTCCCATGGCCGTACCTACCACAAGAGAAACAAATGTTCGGCAGACATTCGTATTCCACCCGTTGCTCTCTCTCTTCAATCATGAACCTTGCCCGTAAGGGTTTAGTCAGATGCAACAGCACTGCCAGCCTTGCAAATTTTCCTCTTTATCATTGCAGTTGTCTGATGATCGATCTTGATGACCTTGCCGACGAAATCGTCGATTTTTCAAAAAATTCTTTTATGATAAAAGTGAACCCGCATGCCTGGCGGACGAATCCACGCCACCATAGATGTAATGTCATTTTTTGATTCATCAAACTCCACTGACCAAGGCTGAACATGAAGATACCCCCTATTCACAATACACAGGTCACCGCATAATACCTTAACAACTTCTTCATTAGATTTGAAACGAACAAGGAAGAATCCGTTGTCAAGATCCATCATCTGGTGAATTCCAGTCAAATGAGGCCAAATCTTCACTAATCGATGAAACAACACCGGTAGTGTTATTGACTGACCCATAAGCTTTACTACCACAGCATGTTTCCAATCACGCAATATTTCCTCCTGGAATCTCTTTGAAATTTTTAAATCCGGACAGGTTTGTCGAAATTAACCAATAGATCATCCTCAAACTCTCCTTCATTCATCTCCTCCACATCCATGTCGACATGGGAATAGTCCTTGCTCAACAGATCTCTCCAACTTACTCTCGGAGGGATCTCCGCACGACCTTGAGCCGCCGGTGGTACCAATCCTCCAGGAATATCAGAGTCCTCAATAAAAATTCCCGATCTACGCTTCTTAGAATACCGGCCATTCACCAATTGTGGGATAGCGTCCTTTAGAATCGGAAAATCATGTTCAAAACGATTCGATGGGTCATGTCGTGGGTCAACGATTCCGCGGTCGCTGAGGGCGTTGAGAGCATATTTAGTCATGGCGGCCAGGGTTTTCCGTACGCATTATCTCTCTTCAACTTTGTAGGCAAATTGAAAATTTACTTGTTCCTACATAAACGGTGGGCCCCCGTCAGTATAAACCCTCTCATGAACATCCATTGAGGGTGTTCTTATGTAAGAATATTATATTAGGGCCACTTGTGGTGGGGTGGGGGGAAACTATAAGTCTATAACAGGACGAAAACAGGTTAGCTTCATTCTAAAAGCAGCCACAAGGAAGTATGCGTTCGATTTAGCATCATGTTGTCAAAGAGTCGCGTATTTTTGTAATGTAATTATATCGTAAATTTAATTTGTCTTTATTTTGCACCCATAATAATAATAATAATAATAATAATAATAATAATAATAAAGGTGGGGCAAGTCATCTTAGATTACCAGACATATATCACTTTATTATTTCGAGAAACACATCAAACACTTGATAGATCGGCTAATACAACGGCAATGCAACAATTTAAGAAAGAAAAACACAACACTCCAAACTGAGAAAACTCTAGCTTCTGAGGTGCGATTTTGGCTCTCTATATTCTCCAATCTTCGGCCATTCATGCCTGCATACACGTTTGGCTTCTGAAACGCCTTCATATGAAATGGCCTTAAAGAAATGCTCTTCAGTTCATCAAATTTCTAACTTCAGCAACTAAGTATAGGGATTATGCATCGCTCAACATCATGAAAAGGAACAAATTAATCTAAGGAAACAGACATACACAACAAATTACGCATTTTATTTATTTGTTTTTTTTTTAAATTTCTTTGGGTAAGATTATAAAGGCAAAAGTCTAAATTTTCTTTAAAAAGAAAAATTCTTTTCATAAGATATTGAAGAGACAAAAGTCGAAGATCTTTACAAGATCATAACTCGGGAACAAAGCACGTTTTGTTCAGCAAAGAGAGGATCCAAAGGTTTTTTTATGGACATTGGAAATATCCCGGTTTTAGGTCACAACCATTAATGATCGCAGGAATGTTAAGGGGAACACTTATGGTGATTCCCAAAAGGTTGAAATTGACGTTTGTGCAAAGGCAAGCGGCAACTTCGATTTCGGAAAGGCCATCAAGAAGAGAGCAACATTGTCTAGAAGTTCCAATCTTGATTCTAACTAGACCAGGCACATTGATACATGCTCTCAATTCTAAGGCATCCCTTGGGCAGGACCCCGGTGGACTTTCCGGCGCAGGAACTCTTGCCAGTTGAGTTTCAAGCTCTGGCTTTTGGCTTTCTTCGTCAAATGCAGTGACTAAGCCAGTGAAAAAGACGAGGTTTAAGAGAAGAAAGACGGCTAGGAAATATGTAGCCTTATAAGTCATTTTAGCTCTTTAGTAAAGTAGCTAACGATATAGAACTTTTTTTTTTCCTCTTGATTTGGGATTGAAAGTTATGTGGTAAGGTGAGGGTTTTTATAGTGAATAACTTGTTAGGAAAGCAAATATCATTGAAAATAGAGTACTCTACGTACGAAGAATATCTAACATGAGTTTTGAGGTTGAGGTTTTCTTTTAAAAAATATTTATGGTGAAGAGAAAGTGATTTAAAATTTGTTATCAATATTCTAGAAATCTAGTGTTGTTCCCGACGTTAAAAAAAAAAAGTCTTTTAACATAGCCGATTCATAATGTCATAACATAATGTACTACAAAAATTTTAAGGCCAACCCAAAATGATAGCCTAAATTAAGCTAATACTTCTGGTCTAGCCGGCCTTGTTACATGGTAATATACACCTAATTGATCAGGTAAAATATTGCATAATATAGGTCAAGCCAATATAGGAAGTTATGGTGTTCAAGTTTATCAAGATCAAGTGATAACTTTTTTATTTAATATATTATTATTTTTTACCATTACATATCCATTAAGTATTTGGCATTTCCATTGGTTAGGGATGTCTAACGTAAAAAAAAACATCATTTTCTACACCAACCTCAAAACAAAAGAAGGGTAGTTGCATGAGAAGGAGATGGACAAGAGGGCTGCAATTGTAAACATCTCTTGTAACGCATCATATTACTTAAATTGCTACATATATATTAGTATTTGAATAACTAGATGTTAAACCCGCGCGATGCGCAAGATTTATTTGTATACATTATAAAAAATAAAAAAAAATATAAAAAATGTAAAATGTATTTGGAGTCCATATTAAGATACATTACATAACTAAAATTAAATAAATGCGTAATTGTAAAGATAAAATAATGCATATCATTTGAAATGCAAGTATTCACTTGATTTTTATTGAAGGAGAAGAACTGGACAATAACACTCATAAGCAGAGTAAAATAAATAAGATTGTATTAATGTTACATATTGAATGAAAAGATAAAATGATTGTACGCGTAAAATATATAATGAAGTAATTATCAATAGTAGATGGTAGATTATGTGTGACTGAAGTGTGAAGTTTAAAATTTTTATGGTTATTTTGTTGTAATTAAAGATTCTATGGTACTGTTTGGCCCAATAATATTTTAGAGCAACAAACCAACTGTAGAGTTAAAATTTTTATCCTTTAATCCCTTTTTGCTATGAGAATAGAAAATAATAATTAATGAAATAATAAAATTATGGGTAAAAAAAAATAAATTTAGTAACGTCTAAATAAGAACTCTAAAACATCATTTTGCAGAAGAATATACGGAAAAAAATCATATATAACCTTAATTAACCATTACCTCTCATGCCACACGATCGACCCACTATTAGTTCATCACTTTCAGAACAACAAACCAATTGTAAGGCTAAAGTTTTTGCCCTTTCATCTTTGGATTTTGGGTTGTTTTGGGGAGGGAAAAATTTTTGCAGCACTAGAACATACTCATGGTTTGTATGGCATGTATGAATAGAGATAAATTGGGATTGATGATAATTGATTATCCAAAATTTCAGTGATAAAGATAAAGTTTATAACAATTTTTTAGATATTATTAAGGAAAGATTATATTTATTTGGGTAGATATGATATTACACAAATAAATGCATTGGTTTTAAATTCAAAAGATAACATTTAATTATAGTTAAATCCCATCCTTTTAGTAATAATTGAAGGCAAATTTTGTACCTTTTTTTTTTTCTTTTTATTGGCAAAAAATACAAGGTCATGTTTTTGGGAGAAGATTTTAAAGATAAGATTAATGTTGAATGATTGGTATTTTTTTTTTTTTTTTTGATTTGTAGTCTATTGATTTACATGATTGGGAGGAAAAATTTTTTTTTGAGAGAGATTAATTAAATGAGTCCAGTAGTAACTTTGGGAATTCTTTTGGGGAAGGAATGATTCTGGTGCATTAATGTTGATTAATTCCGTCCATTAAATTTAATTAATTTTTACTTTCCTATTTTAAACTATAGTTTTAAATGCCATTTGATAAAACTTTATTTACATAAAATTTGAAGGATTATTAGTATAATTATTGTAAATATTTTTTGACTCAACCATTAGAAAAATGATACATAGGATTTTATCCTATGTGACACCTTTAGAATTCTTTTTTATTTTCTCTCTCTGATTTCTCTCTTAGTATAATATATATATATATATACTATAGATGATATGTGTAAAAGTGTAAGGAATGCATGATAAGAAAAAGTGGAAAGGAATGGAATTAAATTTTATGTTTTTCATTTAAGGTTTATATATTTTAACGTCGGGAGGAGCACACTTTAGATCTTAGTAGACATATCATTCTTTTTTTTTTTTGTATTTTTTTTCCCGGTGTTTATATTATTTTTATTTAGCAATCTTTTACTATATTCTCTCCGTTCTAGAAAAATAGTCCAATTTAATAAAAAAGTTTATCCCAAAAAAATAGTTTAGTTTCACAAAATTCAAAATTAATTGAATTGAAATGACTTAAATATCCAAAAGAGTAGCGGTAAGGAATACAAGGTACACTTCCTTTAATTTTTATTTTTTTAGTGTTCTCCTATTTTTTCAAATGATTATATCTTTTAATAAATGAATAATTAAAAAATGTGTTATATATCAATTAATCTATGTAACGAGATCTTTTCATCAAGATCCATTGTCAATATTTTTTGAGATAAAAATTTTGATCAAATTTAAGTTGTAAAATAAATGCATATGTAGTTAACTTTTATAGAAATAACTAGAAGGGGCATTAGTGGAAGTTAGAGGCATAAAATGAATTGTACATTTGGTGTGTTGATCAAATTTAAAAAGTTATACATTTTCAAACTGGACTATTTTTCTAGGACGGATGGGTACTAATTTATTAATTCACCAACAATTGAATGAAGCCTAACAGACAAATTAAATACAAAGGTCAAAATCTAATTAGTTTTATTCAACATAAGCCGTGAAATTAAGCAAAAGGTTTTTATTCTTTTTTTTTTAGGGATATATTAAGAATTACTGGAAATGGTCCAGCACCAGTTGGATACAAAGTTAGGAGTGTTACTCCATAAGGTTTCAACAGAATCAGATTGTTTTGCGAATTTAGCAAAAGAGTGAGTAATAGCATTTTGCGGGCGAGAAATCCATTGTAAATGTTCAACTGGCAACACAACACACAAATTGATGATGTCTTAAAGTATTGGCTGGTAAGAAAAAGGGCCATCTATTTCTTGATTTGCTGCTAAGACAATGAGGTGAGAATCGCCCCGGACATTTAAGAGACCCAACTTTTGACAGAACAACAAGCTTTCTCTCAACGCTAGGGTTTCAGCAATATCAAAATCTAAAACCCCAGGGAATTGACCCGCTAAACCATGTAGAATCTACCATCAGGTGAGCAAATGAATACTCCAGCACCAGCGCAGACTTTCGATGAGGAAATAGCCCCATCAAAATATATTTGGATGGCTGAATTAAATCATTCAAAGAACTTTCAAGTTTAAGATAATTTTTATTTTTTAAAAAATCTAAATCAACATTTCTTCCAGTTTTCAAGCAAAATAGTAAAAAAGAAGTTGCGTACATTTTAAATTGGTCAAAGATTCATTAGAATGACGAAATAGCTTTATTTAATGTATGTTAAAAAAATACTCTACGTACTTAGGATTGTGACCTTTTTTTTTTCCTTTCAAAATAATAGCTTAATATAAATGGTGATATATATGAATTCGTAGTCAATGCATAAAAAGCTATATTTCAAAGGTTTATCATCATCATCAAATGCTTGTGCCTCTCTCTCTCTCTCTCTCTGGGGGGATCATTAGATACCCATCATTTTCGTGGCTTAGGAATGCCTAATTAACTTTTAATCACAACTTCATAACTAAATCAACTTCAAAACAGAAGCACAAATTTGATATTAAGTAGAACTTACAATCTGTCGGAGGTCAACAATGACAAAAGAGGGTAATTACCAGATTATGTCGGGTTGGCTAAAGGGCATTAAGGAGAGAAGAGTATACATTGGGTGGTACTTATTCGGGAATTGGGATCCCCTAATTTTGAAGCACAATAATATGCTAAATTGTATGGATCTTCTCTGCCTCTTACCTGTGGAACTGGAACTTGTTGTACAATCTAATGATTTTTTATAAATTATATAATTTGTTTTAGTAATACATATATCATAAACACATATTTTTATGTAGATTATTTTCACATTTTTATTTTATTTCTTGTATCAATATTTTATCTTTAATGAAATTTGTCTATTTATATTGATTTGTTTAACTATAAAATTAAAATAAATACCCTAACCTAAACATAAAATGAACCCTTACTTCTAATAAAATATATAAGTTTGAAAGTAATTATTAATAGTATAAATATTAACGCAAACGATAAAATTTATACAAAGCTATTGAATGGTGTTATAAAGAGTGTCAAAAGAAAGTGACACAGAGGATGATTAATGTTTAAATTATACGCGGTTTAGTTGACGCTCTAAATGTCATAAATTACTATATAAATATAACAATTATGTGCCCCTTTTGTTTTTAAATTATCTAATTTATTTTTATTATAATCTGTACATAAGTAAATGTCTTTTGGTGAGTTTAGAATCTTGAATGTAATTGGTCAAAATTTAAATTGAGTGTTTTGATTGGTTCATTAATGCACATGACATTATCAATTTTTAATTCATTTTTGCCACCCAGTCATTCTAAACGACGACGTATTCCGCTGGTCCCCCGGGGAACGCATTATTCTACCGTCACCGACTGCATCTTGCTTATTGTTTTAAAACAAAATTAGAATAATCAAATCACATTGAAGGCGCTTACTTACTTCTTATTTGATAAGATTGGTCCAGCTTAATTATGTCTGAATATGTCTAATTTCCATGAGCTTCTGGCTTTTGGAAGAAACCGTGGAGTTTTTGGGATCGGTCCAGTACCCTACATCATTTGCCGCTACACAAATGGATCAGAAAATCAGATTAAT